TTTCAAGCTGGGATAGCAGATCCTTTTATACATTTTTCAGATACAAAAATTATTATAATATTACTAGCTAATACTATCTAATATACAAGATATAATTAAAGTGCTTTAGTATAAATAATTAAGAATGAGTTATGTTGGAGTATGTTGAAAGACATTAAAAGAATGTTAAAGAATGTCAGAGTATATGAAAAAATGTTGAAAGATATGAAAAGATGTAAGAAGATATGAAAAGATATAAAAGAACATGAGAGAATGTCAAAAAATATCAAAGAATATGGAAAGATATTTAAGATCATTATCTAAGTGTAACTATTCCACCAAAAATTAAAAATAATCTTTCACTATACTATTTTACTATGTACATAAATATCATAATACAAAATAATAAAAATATAGATTTCAAATATTAAATAAGATATAATATTAAAAATAGAAACGTAATAATAAGTATAGTAATAAATAATATAGAAAATAGAGATAATTATAAAATGAATAAAAATTATAATAAAGTGTTATTTTTCATAACTAGAAAAAGATTAAGGAATTAAGAAATTTTATATCACTATGATAATAATAATATTATATATAGAATTAGATTTCATGATTGTAAAATTAGCAAAGTATATATAACTGAATATAATAATACTAAATTTCAGATTAATATATTATTAGAAAGATACTTTAATATAGAATACACTAATAAATTCTAAATATATGAAGATATATCAATAAGATATTAACTAATAAATTAAAACAAAAATAATTTATTAGTCTTGATAATACCATATAATTAATTATAAATTATATATTCTAAATATCTTGTATTTTCAAGCTCATGATATTATTATGAAGATATAAGAAATTTAATATATGAAGTTCAAAAAATAGAGTTGAAAGCTAATCAAAAAAATTTGATCTAATTCTATTAGAATTCATAATAAAAATATTAAAATAAGTATTAATTAGTATAAAAATATTTAAAAAATAAAAATAATTAAAAAATTACAGATTATTGACCATGAGAGATAATTAAAAAATTATATAAAATACAAATAAATATAATAAACTTATTTTTCTAAGTGATATATCTTCTGAAAATAAATTAATTATAATAAAATATCAACTGATTATAAAACTACATATCTTGAATTCCTTATATTTATAGTGACTAGCTCATGATATTGTTTGATAGATGTGAGAAATTATCATGTGAATTTAAAAAAATAGCAAAAAAACTAGAAATTCAAGAAATCAGAATTCAATCAAAAAATTACAGATTTTTATATATCAATCTGAGACTTTGTATCACTGCATTTATTTCACTAATCATGTTCAATATCATGCAGATTGGAATTTATGTAATGATATAATTCAATTTCATGCTATAGTGTATCAATATTATTGATTTCCATCAACATTTGACATATCACCCATTGCCAGTCAAGCACTATGAACTATATCATTTATCAAATTAGGAATTAATCTGTGGCTTGTGGCTTATATCAGGGGTAAAACTCATATTAGTGATTCCTTCTAAAGTAGAAATGGTTAGTTTTGAGTGAAAAAAATAATTGTGATATTACATACCAGCAACTTGGATGCCAAAAAATTAATAAAAATCACGTACGCGTTATTTTTCGTAACGCAGATGCCAAGGAAAATTTTTAAAAATTCTCGATCACATATAATATCGATAACAATACAATAAATAAATTCGCGAAATACACCAGTTTTACTGTTTTATTGATGCAGAAACATGTATATATTTTACAGCATAGTAATATAAAACGCATTAACTAGCTTACGTAGTATAAGGTTATTTTAGAATTATCCCTCCTGAAATGGATTGACCAACAATCTCGAAAATTTTTTTTTGTCCATCCCATAAAAAATAAATCTTTGAAATGTTTGGCTAAAGATTAATTTGGCTAAAAGATTATTGAATTATAATAAGGTTCTTCAACATTAATATAACTATATTTTCTACTTATTTCATTTTTTCACGTCTTTCTTGTTCTTTCCTTTCTTTGACGTCTCACCACTTACATCCTCTACAATCTTTTTCGTTTTCCATTTTTTCAACGTCACTCTTTGATGCATCCTCATCTTCATTGTCTATCACATTTGATCGCTTCAAATTACGCCGTCCTGAAATCACATTGCTTTCTGACGTTTCGTCGTCTGTATCACTCTTTGTTTTTCGTTTTTTCGCATCTTTATTCGTTCCCTTCCCTGTCGTTTCCTCATTTTCATAGTCTCCTGATATCGCAACACTAGATCGCTTTTTTGCGCTTTTATTACTAATGCCCAAGTTGATCTCTAGTGCATATTGGGTTATATTGTCAATCCAGCTTGGAATTTTCTGACAATTTTCGTTTTTAGTCGTCTTGTATTTTTGCAGGGGAAATGTTTCAAAAATGTTAGATGGCACGACAAAGTATAAATTAAAGTCATTCACATCCTTTCTCCATGGAAGTAGACGGTCAAGGTCATTAAGCCCTTTTTTCTATGCAATCTGGGTTAGTGATAAAAGTGATAGCGACAAACTATAAATTTAATTATAACCATTTTCCCCTACCTTTAAGCTGTGGTTCTCTGAGATAGTAATTTGGTACAAGTCCAAGGTTTTGTTATCGAGGCTAAAAGAATTAATCGATGCAAATGTCTTTGATTTTGGTCTGTTATAATATTCCTTACGTGCTTCATTCAGTGTCGTGAACCAGTTACACTCCATCTCCTTGATATTTCTTTCGTTTATATCTGAGTTATCACCATTCAGGCATCGCACCCTAAATATACCACCATTTTGCAACGTCCTATGGGCAATATCTTCGAACATATTTCCCCGAAACATTCGAAATTCGGGACTGCTCATGATTAAATCACGAGCGTTCCTCTTTGTTCTAATTTCATATTCCTGAATAACCCTATTAAACACCCTTGGAGAAGCAACACGATATACTACACTTGCAAATTCTGGATCTGGGTCAAGATATACAAGCCTACCGCTAATGGTATCTGTAGGCATGCCCGACTTATCAATAGAGTTTATACAGTCTTCTAAGTTGACTTCATTAATTAATTGTTGGTAATTTTGCTGATATGCCACATCGTCCCACTTTAAAAGAACTGACCTGGGTATTGGACCCCACCTGTCTAACAATTCCCCAACTAATTCAAGTGTGAACTCTTCACCTCGGAAATTTTTCTTGTTCTTGTATTGAAGGGTCCAAAGTGCGGTGATTTCTTCGAGTTCCCAAAGTGGCATGAAATATTTAGCAAATCCTGGCCATTTGACAGCCTTCTTAAATCTTTCCTCCTTCGGCGATGTAAGCTGGATCATATAGGCCTGATAATTAAATGTCAAAGCTTGAGCATCAACTAGGAAGAAGTTATTAGGACTATCCAGTGTTCTATTAAACAGGTTAATATCCTCTTTTTGCACATTATCATTAGGTAAGAATTGATAGCACATTTTTTCGTTATATTGCCAGACTATTGTAGCCTCAGGATAATTGTAACGAATGTAAAAGAGGAGAGATAGACCAAAATATGTTTTTCCGATACCAGGAGTACCAGTAATCGTGCAACCAGCAGAGGCTGGGCCATTTGATTTGCAATTCATTTTAATTAATTCGAATAACTGCAGATAACAGTTCCGTATAAGAAGCTTCGATCCATAACTTTTATTTCCCAAAAAGAACACACCATCCGGTAGACACAGCATCCCGCCAAAGTCATTCATTAGTATTGATGGCAATTTCACATTTGTTTTCTTCCCATTATCGTATAGCATGCCGTCTGAATCAGTAGTCACACCTTTATTTAGTAAGACATAGTTGTTTTCGATCGTAGAGTAAGATTCCAGCGCATTTAATTCAGCCCTCTTCATATCTTGTCGTATCGGGAAGATTATTCTTGCGTCAAGGAGATTCTTCCAAAATTCGACCACACTAAATCCAGCTGTGGAAATAATGCAAATGAAAAAAAAATAAAAGTATTGTCAGTCATTCCCATATTTTTTCAGTAAAATAATATAACACCTTTAATGAGTATGGCTACATAAATTAACAAATCTTGGATTTTTTGTTTTACATAGCAGGAATAAACATATGAGGCACAAGTTAATAAATGAAATTATTGCGGAGAAAGCAGTATAGGTTTGGAATATTCGAAGGTGTGGTGTATGAAGGAGTCACAAAGTCGTTACCTGTCTGAGTGGGTGCATATGCAAATATTCTCTGCCACACTTCCACTTGCGCCAAACGATCCGTAACATCTTTCTCCAGTCTCTTCTTCTCCGCAGCCAGCTCGTTCTTCTCTTCCTTCCACTCCTGCCGCTGCGACGTAGTTCCTTCTCCTCCCCACAACTTGTTCTCCAAGTCTGCAAGCCACTGCCCATCATCTCCCTCCTTGAACGCCTGCAATTCGTTCTCTGCCATCAACAGCTGCGCTTCTGCCTTTGTCAACTTTTCTCTCAGTTCTTGAATAGTTTCCATTTTTTTTGTTGATAGAAAGATGCGATGTGATGTTAATATAATAACACTGATCAGTGGCTTAATCAATGACGTAACTCCCCCTTAGATAAATTTGGATCTAATTATCAACAAAGAGTGT